GGGGGGGGGGGGCATCGCCTCCGCCAATGACAAATGTGAATTACTTTTACATTCCTTATCTTTAAGGTGTTTCCTCTCGCCCCTGCTCGGTGAGCACTTGTAAACTACAAGGGCAGGCGGGTGGCCTTGTGGAGCTCCTCTTTGTGGAAGAAGACTTGTCATGAACCCCACGCCCCGACAGAAGTAGAGGGCACGGAATTCTTCCCCAGGGCAATCGTGTGGACCGCGTTAATGTGTACACGGTGTAAGACACAGGGAGGTCGCCTGTGTTTATATATTAAAAACAAAAACAAAAACGGAGGCAACTTGCCAACATAGCATGAAACCGAACCATTGATGTCGCTACTTTAAGAATTTTAAGATCAAGACTCAGAATGAACTGCTCCAGCACCGTATTTAACTCCGAAACATTGTTTCTGTCAATGCAGTGAATGTTTCATGATTCACGGGATTAACCAGAATCTTTGATGCTATGTCCTTTTAAAACAGGAGACCGAGAGCTGCCAGACATTCAGAGGGTAACAGCACAGTGGTCAGAAGCGTGAGCTCTGGGCTGAGACCCTTGGCTGTATCACATCGTAACTGGGGGACTCTGGACAAGTTACTGAACCTGTCTGCGAAGTAACTTCATTTACTCAGAGGAAGTAATAAGAGCACCAACCTGGTGGTAAGGATGATCCGACCGAATTCGTGTAAGGTTTACACTCCACAAATGTCAGTTATCACTATTTGCCTTTCTAAGGCCCAAGGCATCAAAACGCACAGTAAAAACACAAACCCCAGACGAAGGGAAGGTTTCACCTCTGCCACTGATTGTGTGACGCCCCACGGGAACGTAAGTTCATGGGTCTCAAATCGGTCCCGATGTGAGGTAGGGGAGGTCGTTCCCCTCTCTGACTTCTCTAAGCCCATCTCCCAGGGAGATGTTTTGAGGAACAATTTAGAATATGAGAAAAGCATTCTAAGCATTTTAGGCGCCTCAGAAAAGCGGGTTTCTGTTAGAAATTCTGTAATTTCACTTTCACAGCCACCTAGACCAGTAAAAGGCGGAGCGTTTTTGGTGAAGGGGGCAGTGGGGGTGTGGTGAGGGCCTTGGGCATTCTGGGCAGTGCATGGTCCTGTAGGCAGAGAATAGAGGGAGGGATAGGGAACGAAGGGTCTGCTTCTGATGAAATAATACAGCTTCGAGGATGTCAAATACTTGTGGCTTTCCTTCGTAGATGTCCTCGTTTGCGGATTTTGGCTTCAGCAGCAACCACCCCATGGCCTGTAACTGTCTTTCTGGGCATTGTTTATTGTCCAAGCAGACCATGCCCTTGGGGAGCAAACCTGAAGACATTAAAATGAACAGAGGGCGGGAAGGGTGGGGCCTGCTAGCAATGATCTCAAGGGACCAGGGCGCAAAGGCAAAACAGAGCCACCGACGTGGAGAAGTGGATGCCACCCCAACCACAGTTCCTCCTCAGGGGCTGGCTTCTTGTTACGACGCAGAAAAGTCTGTGTGGCTCTCTAGATGGTCCAGATTATTTTCTCCTAGGAGAAAACCCAACCATACTAAACCTCTGAGTCTCTCACGGGCTCAAACTTAAATGCCCACTTGAGTCTTGAGCACCTTGGAAAAACCGTTCAGTCATAGCAACATGGAAGTCCACAGTCCATTGTTTCCGCTGCTTTTGGCCAAAGCTGGCGCCTTCAGGGTGCTGTAGGTGGAGGTCAGAAATGTCAAAATACACCCACTAGTGCACAGTAGAGATACAAATGGTCGAAGAAGGAGCCACCATTTCCCTTTCTCTTTCCCGCTCCTTAACCCACTGCTCTCCGGCTTCTGTGGCACCCACTGTCACAGGCAAGGTCACCAGAGATTTCCTTGGTGATAGGCCAATGGATAACTCTCAGTCCTCACCCTACCTGAGCCTGCAGAAGGATCTGATTTACCTGATCCCGGGGCAGTTCTCTCTCTCTGGTTTCTGGGCTACGACCAGAGTGCACGTCTCCTAAGACCAGGGGCAAGGTTCACTGGGCATTTCTCACAAGACACTCAGTAAATGTGTCTCTTTGGCCGATCCTTTGCAGGACTCTCGTCCTTAACCCACTCCTTAAATCCGATGCTCTTCTGGGCTGGTTCCAGACACACTTCTCATCCTGGGCGGTCTCATATATTTCCCTGATCATCCTTCCTGGAGGTTTCCAAGCCCCTTTGCTTCCGGCTGAAACCTTCCCTGCCGCCCCTCATGCCAAATGAGCATCTCTGTCATGGGGGAGAGGGGGACTGACATTTCAAACTCCTCCCACTCTGCTCTCCCCCGTCCGTGAGTAGAATCGACACCCTCCCCACCGTCCAAACCAGACAGCCGGGAGTCATCCCGAACCCCGCCCTCCCTCCACACACACTCCCTGGCACTGGTCCCCTGGCAGGGGGGGACCAGCTCATTTAATCTCTGAGCTCTGTGGATGCTTCCTCCTAAACCTCCATAACCTATCCTTGTCGGCCATCCCAGCTCCGGCCACCATTTTATCCCGGTCATTTCAATAGCCTTTCCAACTGGTGCGGCTTACCTCCCCCTCCAGCTAGGGTGCCCGGTGCGCCCCCTCTGCACCCCTGTACAGGATGCTCCTTCTCACCCCTCCCTCCAGCTAACTCTGACTTGTCCTCAGGTTTCCAAACATCACCTCCCCCAGGAAGCCCCTCCCCCCCGACCCCACCAAGCCAGAGTCAGGGGCCACATGTGCCCTATTAAACCGCTTATCACACGAGATGGTCATTTCCTATTTAACGTCCGTATCGCCTCCTAGATGGGTCTGTGTCGTTCATTATTTTAGTCCCTGAAGCCTGTAGGGATGGTACCCACGAAAGCATTCACAAACACTTCTGAATGAACACAGCAGATCTCCAAAATATAAACTGCAAATCTAGACGGAATGACGCCACTCTAAGATAATAATTTAAAAACAAAACAAAAACAGAAAACCTTGAGCCCAGCTTCCAAACGGTTTGGTCAAAAAACAAAAACAAAAACAAAAACAAAAACAAAAACAAAAAACAAAGGCACTTCCCAAGGTGACAAGGGGGAATAACTGAGGGTACAGAGGTCCCTTTCATATAAGCCAATGTCGATTTTGGTCAGTTCAGATTTACACGCAGAAAGCCACTTCCCACATTCTCAACCAAACGGATTCAAGTTGAATCTGTCATCTTGCCTAATAAACGAGATGGGATTCAAATATTGCCTGCTGTCCGGTGACTCAGGAAAAGGTAAAAAGAGGTAGTCTCTCCATCCCTAATTCTGCAAGTGACACACATTCCAACCCCATCTTAGAGTCGGAAGGGAGTCGGAAGCTCATCCGAGCCAACCTTTCACAGGTCAAGCTGAAGCTTTACCACCCTCATTTTGCAGGTGCGAAGCCAGGGCTCAGGGAGGCGCGGAAAGCGCTCGAGCTCCCGCCCGCTGGTTCGGGGTAACGTGGGGCCGGGACCCCACGGCTGCGGAGCTGTGCCTGCCAGTCCGGATCCTGAGAGACCGGGTTCAAGACCCGGTTGCACGCGAAACGCTTCTTTCACCCACCCTTAAAACCAAGAACTACTCCATGAGCCAACACAGAGGGAGGGGGCACCTCATCCGAGGAAGCGAGGGCCGCAGGCGACCCCTCAGTTGGGTGACGCGGTGCTGGTGTGGCGGAAGGGAGCCGGGAGCGTCGCGGCGGAAGCCAAGAGGGAAAGTGGGGGGGACAGGGGTGCTGTTCCCGCACGTCGGCAGGACCGCGCCGGGAGTAGGTCAGGGTACTCACCTTTTCCTTGTCGCTAGCTTCTCTAGCCACCGTGGAGCCCTGAAACACAAACACGTCATGAAAACAGGCACACGGGAGGCATTGGGCTTCGCACGTTTAAAACACGCGCGTGTGCCAGGGCAGAGCGCAGAACACGTGAGCGCCAACTTCGCCGTGGCGCCTCAGCCCGCGTGGGCTCTGTCCCCTCCCCGACCATGACCCTGCCCCGTGGGTGCTCCCTGCTCTGCAGACCTTCCTGTTGGCTCGTCTCTAATCCTCTCCCTAGCTTGTCACCCGAGCTGTCTTCTCCCTGGTTCTCGTCCCCCCTCCCCCCCCACTGGAAATCAGAAAACCTGACAATCACTTGAGTGATCAATCACTCAACGTTGGATCCAAACCACGCTCTGCTTCTGGCCCCGACTGCCAGAAATGGTTGGTCTTAATGGTCTTCAAAGGGGAAGCGGGCCACTAAGTGGCTGCAGGGGCCACGGGGGCACGGAATGCCCCTTTCCCCCACATTACGTCTTCCAGCTATGGGCGCGCCTGGCCCTCTGCCCGTCTTTGTCCGTTTCCGAGAAATGTCTTCCTCGTTACCGTGAGTAACCCGTGCGTACCTCCCGGGCCCCCTCACTCTGGGAATCCCTTCAAACCCACACATTCACCCGCACCCCACTTTGTGCCAGGCGCCCGGCCGAGCACAGAGGTAGAAAGTGGAAGAAAACACAGTTCTTGATCCCAGTAATTCTGCTCGGCTGCATTGGTTCTCCGAGCTCTGTCATCACAACAAGAACCGTTCATTCTTGGTGTTCCTCAGCGGCCATAGCAGGATCTCACATAGCGATCGATGCCTGGCGTTCCCCGAATCGATGGCTGGAGAAAGATCCTGACCAATTCCCTGCTCTCCCTTCCCCCGACTCAGGTCAGCGGTGATGCGCTTACCTGATCACCTCTTGTACACCCATTTATTGCCCTGGAATACTTGCCTTAGCCAACCATTAAGAGAACTTATCTGTGACTTGAGGAAAGTTAAAGTGGCTTCTCGACTGGCCATTCTTAAATCAAAATTTACTACTCCGTGACCATCTTGCATCCAAGCAGCTCAGGCACTGATTAGAAAGTAGCCCGTAGGGGCGCCTGGGTGGCTCAGTCAGTTGAGCGGCCAACTTCGGCTCAGGTCATGATCTCACAGCTTGTGAGTTCAAGCCCCGTGTCGGGCTCTGTGCTGACAGCTCAGAGACTGGAGCCCGCTTCATATTCTGTGTCTCCCTCTCTCTCTGCCCCAACCCACTCATGTTCTGTCTCTGTCTCTCTCAAAAATAAAT